CTGGTTCCGAATTTCGTCCCGAATTTCGTCTCTTTTAGTAATAAAGTCCGCACACGCCCCCTTTACCAAAGGATCCTTTATCAAATTTTTTATTCCGCTTTTCTCGCCCTGTGTTAATAATTCCCAAACACATATGTTATTGAGAATGATCGGCATAATTTTTTGTGCGAATAAAAATAAGTTACTCACTACAAAAACTTCATAGTCATCTTCTATTATCTGGTATTGAGGGGATCCAAGGTCAACTATACCATTAGCTAATGGGCTATCATAGGTTAAATCATTAATATCTACTACTCGTATCTTTTCAAGAAGGCGTCTATGTTCCAATGTGTTTGCATCCTGATAATTTGGAATTAGTAATGCGATCTTTTATATTCGGTTCCCAGTAAAATTAATAAATATGCATCTAAATACCTGTAAGTTTCCTTTTAATCTATTGATGTTAGATACAGCATGTAGTTTCCAATTCGGAGGCTCATCGGTCTCAAATCTTTACAGAAAGAATCGTTAGATTCATTTTTCTTCTGTGTATTTCATTCTAGAAAACATTTACCGAATTAAGTCATCGTCTACTAAAAATTTTAATTCTTTCCATATACATCGCATCTGAAAGAATAATATTTATAGTACGTTACTAAATACCAGAAAATAAAAATCTATAGTCTATTACAAATTGTGCAGATCAGAGATTTTTCATTCAGGAAGCATGCTATTATGGTACCATCACTAAAATATTTTCTTATTTCATAAATCATCATTTACATAACACAAAGCTGGTACTTCTCGCAAATGGTTTATGGCCAGTCGCCATCGCTTACGTAACTTCTTTTTACAAAGCTGGTACTTCTCGCAAATGGTTTGTAGCCAGTCGCCATTGCTTACGTAACTTCTTTGCATAAGTAATACGGTCTGACAAGTAGCTCAATTTTTTTTATCATCATATCTATCGAAAAATAATATTGGTGAATGGTATGTACTATACCTTATTAATATCTTGTAATGATATGAGGCATTGCTTTCTACCATTATCAAGATTTTCCATTTCCAACTCTTCTAAAATCCTCAAAAGGCTGTCGCAATCATTATCTTCTGATTGTATATCACTATGTTTCCATAGCTCATGGAAGACTCTAGAAATTGCAATTTTATCAAGCGGTTCGTTTCGTAAAAAATCTTTTAAGTGGTCGAATTCGTGAGAAGTCATTATGAGTTGAAGGTTAAGAATTTTTTTGAGTTATATGTGTGAGAAAATAATTATGCAGTGTAGTTGATCAAATGCAATTTTTTTTCTTAATCAATCAGCAGGTCACACAATTACATCATGCATGAAAAGTTCTACGACCTTCTGTGGTATACATCTGTGTTACGCTTATTTCGGAAATTTGGTCATAGTAACAATCAGGGGTACCCAACACATGATAAACGTTGATTGAACATCTGTATTACACAATTGATTTTTCAGGCATAACGACATTTTCATTAACTTAGAAATAACAAAAAATGAATATACATGAGGTAATTAATCGAATTTGGTTAATCACACAAATAAATATGCATAAATTATATAGTTACACTGCATATACAAGTATTCAGGAAACCAAAAATTTACAGGTCGTACACAAACAATTATTGTTATCTGTTATTATGTTTAAAAAATAAGAATTCGAATGATTCATTTTATTTAAATGATTTAATCAAGCGAAATAAAATAAAGATACATGGATATGGATAATAATAAATAATATTGATTTTTTACGGTAGAGTTGCAAGGGAGAGAACGTACGGCCCCTAGACCATTCAATGTACGCCCCTATACTTTGGCTCTACCAGGTGAAAAAACTATTTACTATTATTGTTATAATCTATTCTTTCGTTAGAATTGTAGTCGTTACCATCACTATTCATGATTTTATTTTTTTCTTTAGTTTTAAACGCAATCCAAGCCTTTATCGCGCCGATGGTTCTGGCGTCGGGTTTCGTTGTTTGATTATAAAAACTTTCAATAGCCTTGAATCCGATAACTTTTATTTTTGTTTGTTTTTTTAGATCACTCATAACTTCATTAATCATATCTGATTTAGTATGATCGTTTTCTTCCATAGTTTCATTGAAAAGGATCTTAAAATTTTGCACAATTTCAGAATTTGAAGATGATGATCGATTCGAAGCTGGAACAGATAAATACAAAATGGTTAGCCCTGGATCATTGACATGAAAGGCTTAAAAAAATAAAACGCTTACCTTGGGAACTATTTGTCAATTCACTAGAAGCATCTCCCGAAATTTGTTTTTGTTGCATCTCTTCGTATAGCAATTGAATTTTTTCAGTAAGGTCATCAAATTTTTGATTAACTTCTTCGGATAGAAGTTTCTGCGCATCTTTTAGTGAAGTAAGAGTGATATCAGTTTCCCGTTTTAAATTATACAGAGCAAAGCATGCAATTACAATGATTAGGTAAACTGGGAATTTTCCTTCGATAATCCACAATACGATGACAATCAAGATTGGTATAAAAATGAAATAATTTTCTGATGGCGTTTGTTTGAAATATTCTAAGATATTTGTATCCATCTGTAGGGATTAATGTGGGCGCATAAACTCATTAAAAAGGATACTCAATAAAAAACAATCGATATATCAATATAAGTCAGAGACCACTTACTTTGGTATAATAAACCTTTGATTTAACAAATATATGACTAGTTTAAGAAAATTTTGATGTAGTTTTGATTAATTTACGATGCTTTATTTATTTTTTGAATGATTAACAGATTTTTATTGCTTTGCAGTAACTTTGTGTATATTTATTCAAATGTTATAGTTATGAAGTAGAAAAATTATGCGAATTCAAGTTCAAGCTGTTTTTATACGTATTTCAGAATCTCTCTGGCGTTGATTGTCGATTTGCTATGGGTACACACTATTAAAGATATCAACAATCATTGGTTTTTTTCGAATTACACGGTCAGCTCATTAAAAATTTATCTACTATGGACGATCTGTTATCTTTGCCGATCATAATTATTTCTGATAGGTAAATCAAAAATTTTGGTATATCTTATACTACGCACAGGCCTCATTCGATGTCAAAAAAATAAGCTTAATCATTTTTATACAACAACAATAGATGCCTCTTATTTATTCGTAAAACAGAGAAGATCCAGTGATCGCATAATATTACACGACATTAGATATTTTTTTCTTGCCAAAGTGATTTTGATGAAAATAAAGCATGAACATTCACATAATTTCTCCGATCGAGACAAATGGTTACATAGAACCTTACTTTATTGATATATAAAAAATGTTACAAAAATAATAACATAAAATAAAAAATCATATCGCAGTTATATACTGCAAATTACTCCTTTTGAAAAAAGCGGGCCAATGACACCACAACACTACTTTGCTCTTTCCGTTGATTTAACTTAAAAATTCTCCTACCATCGACAGATAACTCGTAGCTATTTATCCAAGTTATGAGATAACTTTTTCTATTCTCAACGAGTACAGTTGAAACTTTATTTTTAGTCGCTACATTCATAAAAACTACATTTTCTATGCCTTGGCATGAGCTCCGCTCTAAATCGTCAATTGGAATATCATTTTTATCTACAAGAAAAACCCTCGCGACGTCTTCATTTAACACTTCAATCTTTACTCGGATGTTCTCGTGATCAGTATCAAAGTCTTTTGTTTCTCCTTCCACATATAAAATTTTGTTTTCTGACATCGTAACTGCTAAGAAAAAACAAAACTATTAATTAATACATGAAGTTGTAACTATATTTCTGACTCAAAAATTTATTCATAATGCGTACCTTAAAAAAAATTCGATAAGATAAGAAATGAAGCCTCACAAATCCGGCTTATTTATAGTGTTTCATTCGCTTGA